AAGTTTATATGACGCCATCTATTGGTAGATATAAGCAACTTAAATCTAAAAAAAACTAAAATTAATTAATTAAATTTAATGAATGAATTAATATTTGAAAAAACTGTATGAACATCTAGTGTCAGCCACTACAAGTTCAAAAAAAATGTATTCGAATTGGAGTGGAGGAATAAAAAGTATTTTATGAACGATTGAAAATGTGAACAAGGAGGATAGGATATATAGGGAGAGCGTGAGCCAACAGAAAGAATTGAAATAATTTTATCACTTCTTCAGAAATATCTTTTTCATAACAGACGCTGATGATTGTTAAGAAACGAAGAATTTTTATACTTGAAATGTCGTTGGTTTCTTTTTACTTATATTGAAATCAGCATTTATGTTGGCATAATCTAATTTTATCAATTGTTATGCCAATTTATTGTTAATCTTTACCATCCCTCAGAAGAAGACAAATAAAAATTTCAATATGCCATATACAAAATGCCATATTTAAATGGATACTTTATATCCTGCTGCATATATATCCAAAAATGTAAAACGTTTTCTCTTTACAAAATCTACACAAGACATCTTTTAAATCCCACAAAAAAATTTCTTTGCCCATAGCCATGGCACCCCAAAGCCATAATAACAATAAAAAAGGAACGTCGTGTTTATTAAGGATAAAACCTCAAAACCCCGCTCATATTTACCCCTCCCTGCATCTACACTTTCTTCCCTCGAAGTGGCATTTGGATTTATTCCGCACAGATCACGTTCTGGTTCGAGAGTAAACGGAAAAAGGTAGGGCGTAGGGGATGCGGGTCTCTCCTTTGCCGCCACCCAATCCCGTGAATTTCCCCTCAGGATCCAGAGGCGCCGCTTTTTTATTCATTTTTTCCCCCCTCCGGGACACGTGATGCCATGTTTGATGTCAGACACAAATATTTTTCTTCTTTCTTTCTTTCTTTCTTTTTTTTTCATTTTCCTTCTTTCTGAAATAAAAATGCCTCAAAAAGGCGACACCTACGGGTAAAAAGGGATATAAAAGAATTGTTACAATAATAAATAAAAATAAAAAAAAAAATTAAAAAAAGTGTCACATTCAAGGTTTCTTCACTTAGGAACCGCTGCCGATTCAGACGTGCGATTTTTCTTCAACCCTTTTCTGCGACTGTCTTTTCGGCGTGAAAAGACTTTGTGGCGTTCCCTAACTATGGCTGCATGTGGTTGTGGTAGTGGTTGGGGGAACAGAAAGAGAAGACGCATTTGTTACGGAAGGGAAAGATCGCTTACTTTACACATCTGCGAATTTAATTGACAGATCTGATAGTGTTCATACAATACCTAAGGGTTAGTTTAATATACTACTGTGCCCAAAAAGTAAAGGCAATTATTTATTACTCTTTATTTATTTTTCCAAGTTCTTTTGATCGCCTTCAAAGTCACCCCTTCCGGACACAATGCACTTATGCCAACCTTTTTTCCAATCCTCAATGCATGCTAAAAAGTCATCGGCAGGGAGGGCCTTCAAAGTCCGCGCTGATTCACATTGAATCTCTTCAATCGATTCAAAATGGTCTCACATTGAATCTCTTCAATCGACTCAAAGATCGTCAGCAAAGTCTCTAATTGCAAATCGTCGGTTTTCAAGCACGAAATCTTTAAATTTTTGGACGTCAGTTACTTCGGTTGAGGTGGATGGTAGGTCAGAGGGCTCTTCGTCTTTAACGCGTTCTCTGCCTTCTATGAACTGTTTATACCACTTGTAAACCTTTCTTACAAATATATTTTGTTCCCCGACTGCCTTCTGCAACATTCTATACGTTTCCACACATGAATATGCATTCCGCAAACAAAATTTGAGGCAAGTTCTTTGCTCACTTAATTCAGACCTTTCAAAAATCACCGCCTGTTAGTTGTATTACGTAAAATATCGTTACGAAACGAATTTATAGTTAGAAGTAATGATATGGCCTGGTCTATTGGAATGGAGTTACTTTGTGGTTCTTTACGAATGGCTTGGATGTGAGGGTCAAGTTCCTGAGTGATCGCCTACTCAGTATCAATTGAATGAGAAAATTGTAACCTGAAACTTGAATTATAACAAGTTTAAAGCAAACTAACAACAACAAAAAAGATCTAAAACAAGTGATATAAAAAAAAAAAAAATATTAACTCAAGTCCAATTTTTTTTTCACTCTATTGCAGAAAGTCCTTTATGAATAATTTTCATTCATTTTTTTAAGTTTATCTGGCGCCTACTATTGGTAAGTATATGCAACTAAAATCTAAAAAAAAACTAAAATGAATTAATTAAATTTACTTACTGAATTAATTTGAAAAAACTGTATTAACATCCAGTGTCATCCACTACAAGTTAAAAAAAAATATATTTGAAGTTGAGTGGAGGAATAAAGAGCATATTAGCAACGATTGAAAAATGTGAATAAGATATATATAGGGAGAGTGTGATCTAATAGAAGGAATTGGAAAAAAGCAATTTTTGTAGTTATTTTTATTGTTTATTTATTAGCCGTTTCAGAGTCATTACTTTTCTTTAATTTAAGGATATTAATTAATTACTTTCATTTTATTCAAAAAATATTAAGTTATAACATTAATTAATAAGTATGATTATGTTCGGGATTAAGAATATTTTCATGTTATATTTGCAAGATTCTTGTTACATAGAAAAACATAATTTTTTTTATGTAGTTTATTTAATTTTTATTTTTCAGTCGGATTCAGGAGATTTTTAAAACATCCCGTTCTAATACTGCCTTGTGATTTTATATTCAGATTTACTGCGACGAAATCACATTGGAGCCGAGTTCATTGAATGATTGCGTTCAAAAATATTTCATTCATTAAAAAAAAAAAAAAAAAAAACAATTTTTGTAATCATTATTAAATTCCTACTATCAGTTCACACTCTCCCTATATATATCTTGTTCAAATTTTCAACCGTTTATAAAACTCATTTCATTCATCTACTCAAGTACAAATGCATTTTTTTTTTGAACTTGTAGTGGATGACACTGGATGTTGATACGTTTTTTTCAAATATTAATTAACTAAATTTAATTAATTAATTTTAGTTTTTTTTAAATTTAAGTTGCATGTATCTAATAATAGATGGCACCCGATGTGAGAGGAAAATTTCAACTTTATTTGTAAAGGACTTTTCTGCAATAGAGTGAAAAAAAAGTAGGACTTGAGTAAAAAAAATTTTTTTTATATTACTTGTTTTTATTGTTTATTTATTAGCCTTTTCATGATCATTCCTTTTCTTTAATTTAAGGATAATATTAATGAATATAAATAGATCTATTAATTAATAAGTTATAATATGTATTAATAAGTATAATTATGGTAAGGATTAAAAATGTTATTATGTTAAATTTGGAAGATTCATGTTACACAAAAAATAATGTTGCTTTGAGTTCGCCCTTTTACATGAATTATTGGAAATGAGTTAAGGAATATTTTTAGTAATTTTGTTTAAAAATCTTTTATTAATATAAAACAAACAAAAACTAACAAAAAATTAATAGTTCCTACAAAAGCAAATAAATATAATCTAGAGATTGACTAACATTTAAAATATATTACATTTTACTATTATTTCGTAATATTCTATGAATTATTTATTGAATACAAAGTATCACCTTCGTTTAATATGTTCAATTTGCTGAGATGAAAATGAAATTCTTAAATTATTCATTGTTTCATTACGTACAGGAAAAAATTTATTAAAAAAACTGAAAGACAGAATCCAAAAGCTGCTGAACTCTCTGAACTGAATAAAACAGACTTATACTGAAAATAAAATAAAGAAGTTTCATTTGAATTCCAACCAATGAAAAGTTTATAAGAAGAATCCTTTAATTGAAGTTGCAAAGTAAACAAGAAAAAAAATAAAATGCAAGTTTGAGGTCACCTTGTCTCTCCATTTCATCTCGAGAAAAAAATAAGTTTTCAAAAAAATTTAATCAAGGCATAATGCCATCCGAAATATCTCGGGCTTCTAAAAGTTTTCCCTGCTCTTCTCTATTTTCATTTCGTCTCCTCGCTTCATTTCACTTCGGTCTTCTGATATCACGTGGTGCAGAATGCAAAAGAATTTAGAACATTGGGTGGAAGAAACACAACTAGTTATTGTTTCCCAGTTTAATGAGATATATTTAAAACATCCCGTTCTTCTAATGCTGCCTGTGATTTCGTATTCAGATTTCTGCGAACGAAATCACGTTGGAGCTGAATGTATTGAATGATTTCGTTCACAAATATTTCATTAATTAAAAAAAAACAATTTTGTAGTCATTTTTACTGTTTATTTATTAGCCGTTTCAGGGTCATTAGATCTACTAACTAATAAGTTGTAATATTAATTTATAAGTATAATTCCGTTAAGGAATAAGAATATTTTTGTTATATTTGAAATATTCACTTTACATAAAACAAGTAATATATAAAAAAAATTTAAACTCAATTTCTACTTTTTTTTCACTCTATTGCAGAAAGTCCTTTATAAATAATTAATTTTCATTCATTTTTTTTAAGTTTATCTGGCGCCATCTATTGATAGATATATGCAACTTAAATCTAAAAAAAAAACCAAAATTAATTAATTCAAATTTTCAATCGTTCATAAAATACTTTTTATTCATTCCACTGGAGTTCAAATACATTTTTTTTGAACTTGTAGTGGATGACACTTGATGTTAATATAGGTTTTTCAAATAATAATTCATTAACCAAATTTAATTAATTAATTTTAGTTTTTTTTAGATTTAAATTACGTATATCTACCAATAGAGGGCACCAGATAAACTTAAAAAAATGAATGAAAATTATTTATAAAAGTATTTCTGCAATATAGAGAAAAAAAAGTAGGAATTGACTTTAAAAAAATTGTTTTTTATATTACTTGTTCATTTGTTTGTTCAATGGTTATGGTAAATTATAAATTAGTTTCTTTTACGGTTCGAACATAATTTTTTTTTCCTGAATTATGTTTAAAAAGAAAACTCGAACCTGCGCGGGGAAACCCCAATGGATTTCAAGTCCATCGCCTTAACCACTCGGCCACGACTGCTGCTTTCTCGACTCTGATAAACTTGCTTATCTCAAATAGACGTCATTTATCAGATTGTCATCTAAGATAATATTTGTATTCGCTACTGTTAACAATCTTGTAGGTTCAAATATATCATACGACATTCTTAAACGATTGTTTATAATTTTTCCGAATTTAAAGTTAAATTCTTTTAATTTTAATTTTATATTTTACTTTTATTTATTTTTAGTATTTTCAAAATTTTTTTGAATATCATTTATTTAATTTTAGAAATTATATCCTGCAATTTTTGGTTTACTAACACTAAGCAGCCAATTAAAATTGTAAATTTTATGTATGAATTAAGATCAGGAATTTAAGAGTTATATCTCCATTGCTGCTCCGTAATTGGTATGCCGGTTCCCAGTTTAATACATAAAAAAAAAATTGTTTGATAATCCTAATATAAAGTAGGAAGTATAGAACAATATTGTCCTTTTTTTTAATAACATGAACAAATATCGCCTTAATATACGAACATTGAATTGTTTTTCTTAATAGTGAAGTCAAGCCAAAAATAGAAAAATGCTTTGTTGAAAGATGTCTTGCAATACTAGTATTTAGAAATATTACAGTGTATATGAACACGAAATGAAATGTTTTTTTTTGGTCTTTTTTAAATAAAACGAGTAATATAAAAATTCCTACTTTTTTTCACTATATCGCTGGCTTATCTGGTTTTTATTCTCAGTTTATCTGGAGCCATCTATTGGTAGATATATGCTACTTAAATGTAAAAAAAACTAAAATTAATTAATTAAATAATATTTGAATGAATTAATATTTGAAAAAACTGTATTCACATCCAGTGTCCTCCACTACAAGTTCAAAAAAAGATGTATTTGAACTCGAGTTAATGACTAAAAAGTATTTTATATTTTTTATTTTCATAAAAAGTATTTTATGAACGATTTCAAATTTGAACAAGATATATAGAGAGAGAGTGTGACCTAACCGAAGGAATTGAAAAATAATATAGTTGAATCTTTCATATATTTTCTGTTTTATTTTATCTGGATGATTATAAATAGTCACAGTGCTCTCTGATTCATCAACTCAAATCAATGTTAAGGATGCTTACTCATTGATCGGCACAGAATATTGATAAAATTCGTTTCAGTTAAGATCCAAATAAGCAATGCTGATTCTGCAGTAACGAATGTTCTTTGTACTTGCAGATATTTCGATAAGGCAAAAAACATTCAAATCGCGATGCTAACTTGAGTGTGTCTCAGGAAATTGTTTTCACCCAACTTTTAATGGGTTTGAGGAAAAGAATAACGAATGACACACAAAATTTCTTTCCTTATGCAAACATCTACTTTGTAAAACTTTACATTTAATGTGCTCTAAGAATTTCAAAATTGTGTTAAAAATTCGATTTAAAATGAAATTTTAAAACCTTCTTATAATCAATATTTTTTTTCAAAAAAAAAAAATTATAGAATTGCTATCCATATATTCAAAAATTAACTATCGAAATTATGAGAAAAAAAAAATTTATTTTGATTTTAAAATAATATTCTTGCAAATATAGGACAGATATTGCCTGCTTTATTTATGAGTTCGCAGAATAATTAAATTATATTCTGCAAACTCATAAGGAGCGAACATTTAATAAAACAGGTTCTATGTTTCCCTTTAAGTGACCTCAGTGACCCTCTCTAGATATAATCAGTTGATTGTTGATAGCAGAGCAAACTAGAATCTTAGTTGAAGTTGTTAGCGCTTTTGTTTCAACTTACTCCTGTGAATATTTTCTTTCTAAAATGAAATTCACCCAACACAAACCACGCTGAAATATAACAGACGCTAACCTGCAATACCCATTACGATGAGCAAATAACCAAATTGAGATCGATTTTCAAAATTTAAGTGAAAGAGTGGAGAAACACATATATCACTAGTGAAATAAATATTTTTTTAATGATTTCATTCTTTTTATTTCATTTATATTTGTATATTTTTTAGTGTTCAATATTTCTTTACAATGTGTGCTTAGTATCATTATTATGTCTACATATAAGAATAATAGTAAACACGAAAATAATAATTCATTATGTTTCAATTTTTCACTTCAAAAAAATGTCTACAATGGGTTTAAATCTAATAGGGGATATGTATAATTTTACAGGCTGCTCACGGAGATAGGATGTATTTTCAAAGTAGCCAGCAAGATAATTTCGGTTGGCTACCCCTGCGCTAGCCAATCAGAAACATAAGTGGGCAGGAGATCTGCCATTCTCCGACGAGCTATCTTAGTAACGGAGAAAAATTCAACATTACGTTATACAGAGTAAATGTACTACTTTAGCCACGTCAACCTTATTCCTTGGGACAGCAGCTATCCTGCAAAAGCGGCATCGCTCTCTGAACCCACCTGATGGCCAATAGGTTAACGCTCTGGTCGTTGGTACAGAAGACTCCAGGTTCGAATCCTGGCTGTGGCAGATATGTTTGTTGGGTGTTCGGAATCCACGTTATAGTGTAGGACCCTGTCTATACTATTTAGCTTAAAGTGTGCAAAAGATGACAGTTGAGCGACAAACCAAACCTGAACCCACCTATTCAAACTCTGCGAAGTACAACAACTTATTACGTTTCTTCCACAGTGAAGCAAACCGAAGTTGCCACGCAAACAATAAGTTTACGATGTGTATGACTTTCGACGAAGTTATTTGCAAAGGCAGAAAGTCCTGTGACCGTTAAAAAATGAAAAAAAAAAAAAATAAATAAATAAATATTTTTTTTAAAGTCAATTCCTACTTTTTTTTCACTGTATTGCCGAAAGTCCTTTATAAATAAAGTTGAAATTTTCCTCTTGCATCTCGCGCCATCTATTATTAGATAAATGCAACTTAACTCTAAAAAAAAAACTAAAGTTAATGAATTAAATTTAATGAAGGAATTAATATTTTTGAAAAAGCCGTATTAACATCCAGTATTATACACTAAAACTTCCAAAAAAAATGTATCTGAACTCGAGTGGATGAATGAAAAGTGTTTCATGAACGCTTGAAAATGTGAACAAGATATATAGAGTGAGAGCGTGAGCTAATAGAAGGAATTGAAAAATAGCACAGCTTTGGTTCTAAGATCGGCCTTTTTTTGTGGAATGATAACCATTTGCTTTACAGTTCATTGTTACGATCTCCCAGCGTTCAGCATATCCGTATTACTATAATTATATCATTCTGCAATAGTTTAATGATCGACAACTGTTCCCTAATTGTACCGAATTTAAACTTAAATTCTTTTAACTTAGAGTACCAAATGACCTTGATTTTAGAGTACCAAATGTTTAATTTTTTGAAACTTTATCTTTTATCTAATACTACGAGTAACATCTAAGCAGCCAATTAAAACTGTAAATTTATATAGGAATTAAGATAAGGAGGTTAATGAGTCTATCTTTATTGGTACTCCGTAATCGGTGCACCAATTCCCAGACATGTGAACGCTGTTGGTCTTCATTGATTACCACTAAATGGACAATAGAATGCGCTTCTTACAATGGAGCTACGGAGGATGAAAGTTGGGTGTGCGTAAAGTGAGTGCGAACAGGATTGAGTGCAACGATGCTTTGCTTCCCGCCGTCGGCCATCCAATAAGCCCGTCTCATAAAGCTTTGAAATTATAAGCGTTTGGTTGTCTACAGAACAGAAATGCCCCTATTCAGTACAGATACGGGGGGCGGCCTGGTGGTCAAATGGCTAGAGCTCTGGTCTTTGATACCTCAGGTTTTTGAGGTTCGAATCCTGGCGGTCGCATGGATGTTTGTGAGTGGTTCGGAATCCACGTAGAACTGTAGGTCCCGATCTGCTTAGTCCAAAGTGTGCACAAGATGACCGTAGAGCGACGAACCAAACCAGATACGGGGGTTGTTTGTATGTCCTTTTGGAAGGTATCGAATCCTGCTTTTCTAGTCCAGATTCCCGACACATTAATAATCAGTCTCATCAAACTTTAATTTAAAAAAAAATTTGATTTGTAAATCTTTAAACAATTTAAAAATGTAAACATCATTTTTGAATTATAACAACTCGTTATTATCCATGAATAACAGAGAGGGCAAAAAATGAATAAATATTTTAATAAATAATTATACATTGCGAGAAATAAATTTACTTCAGTTTCATTTCTGTTCGATTCTTTTGCGATTTAATTTTTCTTTAAATTTTTTTAATCAATTTGTTCTTGTACGTAATGAAACAATGAATATTTCGTGAATTTCATTTTCATCTCAGCAAACTGAGCATATTAAACGAAGATGATATTTTGTATTCAATAAATAATTCATATATTACGATATAATATTAAAATGTAATATATTTTATATAATACTCAACATCTATAATATATTTATTTGCTTTTGTAGAAACTATTATTTGTTTGTTGTTAGTTTTTGTTTGTTTTTTAAATTAATAAAAGATTTTTAAGCAAAATCACTGAAAATATTCCTTAATTCATTTCTAATATTTCACGTAAAAGGACGAACTGACTACAACATTATTTTTTTGTGTAACATGAATCTTCCAAATTTAACACAATAACATGCTTAATCCTTACCATAATTATACTTATTAATATATATTATAATTTATTAATTAATAGATCTATTTTTATTCATTAATATTATCCTTAAATTAAAGAAAAGTAATGATCATGAAAAGGCTAATTAAGAAACACTAAAAACAAGTAATATCAAAAAAAAAAAAAAAAAATGTTTAAAGTCAATTCCTAATTTTTTTTTCACTCTATTGCAGAAAAGTCATTTAGAAATAAAGTTGAAATTTTCCTCTTACATCGGGCGCCATCTATTATTAGATAAATGCAACTTAAATTAAAAAAATCTTAAATTAATTAACTAAATTTAATGAATGAATTAATATTTGAAAAAACTGTATTCACATCCAGTGTCATCCACTACAAGTCCAAAAAAATGTATTTGAACTTGAGTGGGATGAATAAAAAGT